AGCAAGCACTGGCTGTATTCAAGAGCCTCCTATAACTTTATCAGCATACCCAGTGTGTCAAGGCAAATCTAGAAAGAAAGTAGAGTGTATTTTCTGCTTATATGCCATTTGACAGAAAAATATATTTAGTTTTTTTTTTTTCCCCAAGTATGCTCTCCAACTGTGTCTATAGATTAATGATATTTTATATCCTTCATGACTATCCTATGGGGCAAGTGCTTCTGGTTAAAATGGGAGAAGCATGAAATCTCTATTAAAAATTCTTCTGTCTGTTTCTTTTTTAGAATACCTATTGCTAAATCAAAGAGAAGTAGCTGGGACCTCTCTGTGCATCTAGGAGATGGAATTTACCAAGTTGCAGTTTCAAAGGATGGCTCATCATTTTCTGTGAGTTCTGCTAATTTTCTAAGAAATTTGTTGTATTGAGTCAATGTATATTATCCTTGACACCTACTAAAATTCTCTATCTGTTCAGTGACCATACACAGATGTTTGTTTTGTCTTTAGTAAGCATTGCTGTGAATTACAAAATAAGACTCTCCATGTTAATTAAATAGTGCTAGCGTACAAAGATTTTTCTCTGGTCGTGCCTGTGGAACATTTTTGTATCTACTTGTTTATTAAATTACTTTTCTAATTAACGACCCTGTTTAGTGTCTTGTTTAGAAGTAAAGCCTTATGCTCCGTTGTAGATATATAAGAGCAAGAAAATAAGTGGAATGTCAACAAAAATTACATTAGCTTAAGTTAGTGATTAAAAAAACAAATCAAAGAACCGAGCAAGTTGATGTGTAATCATATTCAGTATGTGTAATCATACTGGAATGGAATTATTCAGCACCCCAGTGGTAAAACTGTGTGTGGTCATAGTAAAATGCTAGTGTTTCAAGATGGGCCTAGGTCACTTGAGATGAATGTGTATAAACTATTGTTTTTACAAATATTCTAAGATAATTACTTACGCACTTAATGGTGTCAGCATGAAAGGCAGAAAGACAGACCATGACAGTAGAAGAATGGTAATGCTGTGTTCAGTAGCTCAGCTGTTCAGAAGAACAGAGCCAAGACACAAGCTGGTTGAATTGAACTATTGAGAAGGTAGATTTATAGAGAGAACTACTTTTAAAGTCTGCTAATGGTAATGCCACAACCAAACAGATTTTTTTTTTTGAAAACAGACAGTTGACTTGCATAGTCTTAGGCAAAAGTTTTCCAAAGTGTCCAAAGAAATCAGTTTTTCTTAAAATCATTGAAAAGCAGGACTATGAGGAATTCCAGATATCCTCTGGTTTACCTCTGACAGCTGTTTACTCTTCTTGCATGTCTTCATTGAACAAACTTCTGCAACATCTGCCTATGTTGCACTCACAATCATGAGATTTCTTTGAAAAAGGACATTTAAATTAATATTTCATATAATGAAGACAGTATTGTCTCAGTGACTCACTTTTGCTTTACACTACTGAAATTTCAATGTAAAAGACATGATTTTCAGTTGAAACTGGTCATCTTTTTAGGTGGTTATTTTCACTTATGTGAATTGAGGTAATGAAAACCTAGCTTTTTTTTTTAAAAAAAATCTTTTTTACAAGATTTAATCTTTGGCCTAACTGGGGCAAGAAGATGCCTAACCAATATCCTTTTTAATACTACTTTTACCTCCATCACACTGTATTTTACATACACTCATGATGAATGTGAGAGAGTGAATAGAGAGCAGGGATGCTTTCTGTTTCATGTGGATCATAGGTGCACTATAAAAAGAATGTGGAGAAGATCAGTCATTGTGATCAGCAAGTTTAAAAATTTTCTCTTGGAAGTGTACTACTTTAAGTGTGAGAGAAGGAGGTCATTTTAGTTGTAGTATTTCTTTTAGAATTCCAGGAGGTCTTGAACAACTGTTTACTCAGTACCTAATATACGGTGTTGATCCATGGCAGTGACACTCACCCTACTTGTGGAATGGTGCTTTAGGAGCGAAGGCCATGTCTGCATGCAGCTTTTAGTGAATTAAATTTATATAGCGGCCCTAACAGGCATCCTGCGAACTTGGATACAAACCATTGATCAAGCAACAAAACATCTCTGCCAGATTTCAGCCCAATTTAGAGTTGGACTGGCACTGGTTTGTGTGACAGAGATAGCCCTTCACAGGAGTAGTCATTGCCCCCAGCCTTTCCACCTTTTTGTTGCAGCATTGCTATCTAACAGCAGTCAGCCTGGAGCTGCCTGCTGCTGTGAGGAAGATACAGGGTGGCTCCTGGTCGCTGTGGGTGTTGCATAGGCCCTTTCTGCTGTGAGCTCAGAAGTCTAATTCCCATAGCTGGATGTCCCTGAACTAGGAGTTTTGTTTAGCGCAAGTAATTACACAGGCATGCATGAGTCAGTCCTAGATTCCACTTGCAGCTGAGTTGTAAACTGCACTGTGTTTCTCCAGGAGGTACGAACTCTGAGAAAGGATGCTGAACATGTAATGCTATTGCTGCTGGTTTATCATTTTAACATACAGAAAATCATTCTGATCTATACCACAGTCCAAACCTGTCTCTCTGTTTAAATGGGACTGCTAAACACTTCTGATGTTTTGCAGCAGTATGAGCATTACAGCTAGTATAAGCCCAGTTTAACAAGGCATATGTAGAGTCAGATTTTTAGTCCGTTTGTTATTTAAACAATAACAAATAAAAAATGCAGAGGTTCCTGCTTGTGTCCTTGCGTCCCTGCAGTATGCTACTGCTGTTACCCTCCACTGCTAGGTAAGGAGGCAGGAGCACCCCTGGGGAGCTGAGCACCCCCCAGTGTCACGAGTGAAGGGATGCATAAGCAATAGGGAGGAAGTAGGGATGCCAGGTAGGACAGGCTGTGTGCCCTAAAGGGTGGGCCAGAGGGATTGGCGACAGAAGCTTTTGCATTCTGATTCTACTCTAACCAAGGCTGTATACTTGGGGAGAGATAATTCCTTGTTTATTTGTATCTGGAAAATTCCTTAGCTAGTGAAATAAATCACAGTAGGTAGATTTCACTGAGACCAGAGGTCTGTCTCACTTAAACCTTAAGGTATAGTGTATTAAAATTAACTCCTGAGCTTGGATTTGTAAAAAGCATGTAACTGTTTTTGAACACCAGGGTTGTTTAGAGTTACACTTATTTTTCATTGTTACTGGATAAATAGCAGAGGACATGTTATTCTTTATTAATAATTTTCTTTTTGCTGGGGTTCTGTGGTTGTGCGGCAGACAAGAGAATGTAGTAAATACAGCACAGTAAAAAATCTTCTGAATTATTATTCAAAGCTTTACAACGGAAAAACAATTGCCTTAAAACTTCAAAGAAGAAAAGTCAAAGACTAGGAATGAGAAATCTTGTTTCTGATCAGGAGGTATAACATACCATTAGAAAAAAAATGGGGAAATTCAAACCTTTGTTAACTTTGCTGTCAGAAGCACAAGCCTCACTTTTTGAACTTCTGCATTTACTTTTTGCTATTAAGTTGGTGTGACACAGGCTCCTGACTTTGTGGGTTGTGTCCCCTTGTGGCTTGTGACAAAGATAGCTGAATCTGTGGTGCAGTTAGATAGCCCAGTGGGAGGGCCACCTTCACATTCCCCTTCAGAAGTTTACTCCCGCTGCAAACTGTGCATTGCAGCAGCAATGTTCGCATCCTGATTTACTTTGTTTACCACTGGGACTCTTCCAACAGTGACTCCTTTCTTTTTGCCTTGACTCTTCTACTCTCGCCAGCCGAAACCTCACCACCTCACAGTGTGCAAGGCTTTGCTCTCTGGGCAGGGAGTGTGAGCAGCAGGCTCCTCCATGGTTCCCGCTGTTTGCGAGCAGATCATTCGTCACCATCTCGGTCTATGGGTCATCTGTGGTTTTCTTCCTTTATCATGAGAATCTTAATGAATTGTGCAGTGTTAACTGCTCTTTGCTGCTCTTTATTTTTCAGGATTTTGAGTTTTGTAATCATCTGTTTTTAACCACTTTATTTGTAACGGAGGTCCTTGATGCAAGCTGGCTTTAAGGCACTTTAGAGGCCTTGCTTCCCCAAACTGAAGGACTTAAAAGATAAGTGGTCAAGTGTGAGCAATACTGTTTGCCTGAAGCAGTGCAAACAAAAATAGTAGTTTTCTTGTTTCCAGTAAAGGTTAAAAACTTTTGTGAATCCTAATTTGATATTTTTTCTTTTAAAATAGAAGTAGCTCTGTTGTTATTCTGAAGCCAGCAACATATATGCTAATACTTAAGTTTGTATAAAATTAGTGTACTAGAATTTTCAGTATCAGACAGTTGTTTCTGGTGATACCCTATCAACATAACAACAAACACTTTTGCAATTAAAAGATTCTAATGACCTGACTTGAGAATTAAAATGTAGCCACTTTGGTGAGATCTGCTTGCTTGTGTACCAAGAACTCGCCGACTAAATTCATGTAAACGTCATTTATTCTTTTTTTTGTTCTTCGTTCTATATGTTAATTGTTAGAAGAATCTTTAAGCTAACTGTCATATATATCCATTTAGTTCTTTGGAGAACAGATGGTCAGATTCTGGGCTTTGATTAGTATTTTTCTTATGCTTAAAATTTTTCCTCTCATCAATGGAGTTAAAATCTTACAATCAAGATTACTGATAAAATAGAATTTGAAGGACGAATACTCTCCTTTACATGAGACTAATGTAAAACAGCAACAAACAGCTCAGAAGCATCCCATCACCAAACTCTGGAATCTTTTGTTTAGTTCAATTTCAGACAGGAATCTTTCTCATCTTGCCATTTTTGATTGCCGGGCTATGAAATATGTTTATTTTATGATTTCATTGATACAAAGACTTGATCCAGTTCTGCTGATGAAGGTTGGAGTCTGTTCGTTCTTTACAAAGCTTGAGTATTCTGCAGAGTACCAAAGGGCAGGAGAGACAAAAGCGAATGGGAACCTACATATATTGAGCAAACCTGTGGTTTCCTGCACTGTACTAAATTGACCCTTCAAAGCCAGATGTCTACCACCGAGGATGCTCTGGATCCATGTGATGGTGGTTTTGTTGCCTGTTTGCAGACTTCCACTCCTGGCTGCTCACAGCCAGTGAGGAGTCTCTTTGCTAATGATATGTTGGATGGGAGCTGCCCTCCCCAGCTGCATTGTGAGCAGCCCCTTAGCCACTGGTGTGTGGAGGACTTCGGTGTCACGGACAGCCATGAACCGACCTTCTCCAATGTGAATGGATTTCCTGTAGGTAATACACTTAAAATGTATAATAAAAATAACAGCAAAGAATGTAAGTGGCCTAAGCAAGGGAGAACATAAATACATTGGACCAGGTATCCAATAATAAAGTTCAATTTATTGGATCCACCCCTGTGTAATGTTCATTCAACAAAAGAATGAACGATAAGTAATTACGTGACTGTAGTGCAATTTTTTCACTGCTATAACCCACCCACCTTCCTTCAATATTCGTGAGTTTTATTTTTCTGTTATGAATGTCACTCTGATTAGACAACTAAAGAATGGTTTGTATTAATATCTTTGTGGTGGAGGAGGTGGTAGAAAAGGGATGGGTCATCCTGATTTTTGTCTACACCTCTGCTTTCACAAAAGCAATGGATGAATCCAAAGGCTCAAATGATGGATACCAGCAGTAAGTAATTACACTTTAGGAGATACAGTCATGTTTCTTTTTGTTTGAAGTTCGTTGCTCTATGCGTAGGTTGAGGACCTAATTTTAGTTCACGAAGGAATTTGTAGCTGTATTTTATGCAATAAACTGCATTCTTGAAAATTTTTTTGGCATAATCAATTTTCTGTTTTTTTTGCTATAGTGTTGGAATCCTCTGTCTTGAGAATTCCTTATTGATGATTTGCGTGATTTCTCTGCAAGTAGTTGTTGTTATTCTCCTTTTTCATGTTGGAAAACAGCCCTTTCTGTTAGGGTTCTTCATCTCTGTAGTAGATGCATACCTTCCCAGACCACTTAGCCTCATCTTCTCATCTGTTCAGTTGACAAAGAATTTCCAGATGTTTTCAGTTATAAAGTAGCTTCTTATCATTGAAGTTGTGGTGAATGAAAGTTGTTTATTTTTTTTTTTAAAAGCGTAAGGTGAAATAGTTCAGAAGTTACTTTGAGCAAATGGAAATTTGAGATATTTCCAGAGGGACCTGTATAGGTCAAACGCTGAATAAGAGGAGTAGAGAAAGCTTAATTACTTCTTTCAGATTGCCACTAGAATGGGCTACCATTTTCACAAAATATTGGATCACTTCCTAGATTCAAATTTAAGAACAGGTAAATATAGTATAGACATGAAATCTCTCTGAAAAAATTGTGAAGCTTGTTCAACCCAATGAGAAATTGATTAACGAACATTTTAAATAATTTTTAGGAAAAAGCAATGGTTTTTTTTCCCTATCTTTTTCATGAGAAGTAAAGAATTTATTAGATATCTGTGTAGGTAGAAAATTGGCCTGTGTACCTCTTAACATTTGCAAGAGAAAACCTATTGTATAGTACATAAAATGAGAGAAATGAGAGCATAAATATACAAATCTAAGACATTACTGTCGTCATTATTTGAATACATCCTGTATCGTCAGCATAGAGTAGATAACTACTTATCTATATGCTTTAATTTAGTTAGTGAATTCATGTATATCTAGTTGTGATTAAGCTTTGACTTCAAATTTAAATGTAATAAACATTTAATTAGGAGAACTCTGCTGTATTCATTTGCTCTAAATTTTATGACTGAGGGGTAAGTTGATTTTAAAATGATTTCAGGAAATATTTTTGTTGTTTTGTAAATTCTCTTCAGGGCGAGGAAAAAATGCTTAAGAAGAAATATCACCCAGAAATCAAACTAGATGCAGCTGACGTATGCAAAGCATTAAGTGTAAAAAGGAATAGTATAATGTAAAATCAGAGCAATGATACAGAAAGCAAACTTAGTCCACATTTAATTCCTTAAACACAAATGTGAATGGAGAGGGATCATAATTCAGTGCATATTAAGTTCTGTCTTTCCAGTACTCCACGTAGAAGAATAACATTGCCTAGCCCTATCAGTATAAAATTAATAATCTTATTAAGAGAATCAATAAAATACCAGAATTATTTTACTAGCATTTTACACTTCGTGTATGCTTCAGGCACATTATAATATATTACTAATTGGTCATATAAAAAAAATAAGAGGGCTGCATTAATAGGGATGAAAAGCAAATACCTGTAGGAATTAAAACAATAAGAGGGGTAGCCAGTAGAGATACAAATGAACATACATCCCCAGGAGCAGTAAATGAAGATTTTCTGGTTAGTCTAGTTCTAAATATATATTGTTATATATCAGAATGTTATATATGTTATATTGTTATATGTATGGAATAAAATATACTGTTATTCCAATGTCCTATATTAGTTTCAATGAAGGGAAAGTGTATGTGTAAAGGCACAAGTGGATGGGGCAGATCAGTTAGATAATCCTTACAGCTGCAAGCAGAAAACTTTTCCTGTCTTTTTCCAAGTAGTTTATATTTTACTTGCAGAGTAGCACACAAATTCTCCATTGCAGTACATGTGCAGTTGTGCAAACAAAATTAATTACCAAGTTCTATAGGTTGTATGCCTATAGAATCTATTGTTCTAGAGGTTGTGTACCTACTTTTACTCTTCTAATTCGGGTTCAAATCCAGGGCATTTTCTGTTTGTAAGACTTGAGTGTTTTCTGTAATGGCATTTTAATGCGGTTTGCATAAGCTAGCCCTGTGGCGAGAGCAGAAGCCACAATTTCCACCCTTGCAAAGCACTACCGTTATCACTGGGCTGTAGTAGTGCTCCTACTTATTGACTGACTCTGTGGCTTTACGGATCCTGCATTCGTTTCTGTACAGTGGCAGATTTACTGGAAGGGTAGAGGCTGCCCCATCCTATCCTGATGGGGCGGGGACGGTTTCTCCTGGGAGGCAAGCACTGTGTGCTTGAATCCTTCAGTCTGAGGAGAGCATTGATCCTTGTGTTCTGACTCTGTGGGCAAGTGCTTTAATTGCTATGTTTCTGTGGCTGCTGACATTGTGTTTTTTAAATGAAAGTGGCCTTGGCCTCAGTATGTTGTGAACACGGTGTTTCTGGTATGCATTTCCACTCTGCTGCATTCAGTCTCTCAGAGAATTTAGATGCTAGGACATGTTGGATGAGATAGAGGTAAAAATGCTTAGGTAAATACTAAGTATACTCACATAATATTTGTATGTACTTGTATTAGGTGTGGTTGTGTACTAAGCAAAAAGAGAAGCAGAGTGTATCTGGATTGCATGTTTTTTTAAATACCATGCCAGTTTAGCAGTATCTGGTAAGGGACTGGTACAATAGGTGCATATTTGCTTTGTAAAGAGAGATTGTTGCTGTGGGTTTGTATGTCTTGGATTAGTTTATTCACATAGTACTCCATAAGCATATAGAGAAAATACCTACAAGGTTGAGAACTAAAAATGACATGAAAAGGAATGAATTAAATGTGTAGTTTTAAATACGCTCTCCCCTCTGTGTCAGGGCAGTGTAATAGCTTGGTTATAGTAGTTTTTGGAGATTTGTAGTTCTGCTACAAAACTTAAAGTAACATGTGATTTGGCACTGGTATATAGCCTAGAAGAAATGTTTCAAAAGAATGCAGTGAAAGGTCTGAAATGCTAAAATGTAAAATATTTTAAAAGCAAGCGTGGTCAGTTTGGATGTTTATTTTCCTTGTGTTAGGATCAGACTTCTTTTCATTGTTTTAAAGCATAATTCTTAGAAGGCAGACGGGGAGCTAGGTTTTTACAATGATTAATTCTAAGTTACCTGATGAAGAGTCTTACCCAAGCAGGTGGCTTCATACAATGAACTCCTGTGGTATGAGAATGGACACTATTTTCTGCTGTGGGTCATGATCCAATGATTCCAGGAATTCCAGCGAACAATAAACTGAAATATAAATTAAATACCCGTAACGATACAGATAACATACCACTTTCTTCAGAAAGCCTTGTTTCTGGCATAACAGCATTTAATGTGTCCTGCCACCCTTCCAGTCCTACTGTGGTCTTTTGGTGTAAGACTGAAAACTCCTTGGAGCATGGGTGTTGTCTTCAATTCATGTGTGTGCCATGCACACTTCAGATCCTGCACCACAATATTCATATCATTATTTTCTAGTTTCTAAAAACACTGCTTACATAAGCATCACTTGAATGCTTTTCTTTACCATTGATTTTGCATCCAACAAAACTGGAAAGAAAAAGCCCAACCAACTCCTCCCTGCCCTCAAAAACCCCTCCCAACTTCCCAACCCCCTTCCCCAAATTCTGTAGAATGATTAAAAAATGTTGTGAGCTCCTCCTGCTGGTTCAGCAATTTAAAAGCATGCTAATGTAACGTTGAGAGCCTGGCTTATTACCACAAAAGCCATAGTTAACTCTGCAGCTTGTGGATGGTGTTTCATCTTTAATTCTGTTCTCTGAGCAAATCGCAGCACATTTAATATTCAGTATGAGACTCGACTTTGGGATCTCCTGATGCTTTGGCATAGGGGGAAACTATAAGGTCATTGCTGCTTTGAGTTGCTTTCTTAGCTCTAAATTTCTTTGCTGCTTTTTCCCCCCTTTAATTTAATTTTTAAGTAAGTCAGATTATTAACATTAATGTAGCTTTTATGGCTTATGAAAAATAATGCTGCTGTAGTGGATAGATGTGCGTCAGCTGTGACTAAATGTTTTGATGTAGTCTTCTCAAAAGATAGACTGGAAGAGCTTTCCTTTGAAATATGTGAAGCCGTTTTAGACACAGCTTCTCAGATGGATCTAATTAGTCTTTCATATGGACTGGATGTCCGTTTGTTGCAGCTGAATTCTCATTTCATTCACCCATAACTAGAAACACCTCGCTTCAAACGTGTTTCTTCAAAGAAAGAAGGGTTTAGGGTTCCATGTTTTACTGCTTTTTGATGTTGGTTTCCCTTTAACTGAGAAGACCTTATGTTTATACAACTGTTATTATTAAGAAAACATAGCTTTGTTCATGAGAGTTCATTCGGTATCAATGTTGGCTATTGGTAGAAGTCGGAGATCTGTGGAATAGATCTTGCTATACGAGACTAGTGGGACAGCTGTACGTCTGGCTATTAAGCCCGTTGTAAGGAAGATTTGAATGCAAGCAGGATGTTCTAATAAAACCAGGGAACCTCGGTTGTAGGAGGATGAGAATGAAGATTAGAGGTACAAATGATCAGGCTCATCAATGGATAGTATTCCTATTTATTATTTATATACAGTAGTCACCAAAGAGGCATTGTGCTCTGTACTGTTCACCATTTAGGATACATTTACATGGCACAGTTTAGTACAGTACAAAGGAACCTGTTCTGGCTAACCTAGTCTGGGCAGTGCTGCATTAATGCAGCTGTACTGCTCCTTGTTGAACTAACTTGTTGAGAACTGGCGCGCACATCTCCACGTGACACTGCATTGTGCCATGTTGTGACACCTCTACAACAAAGAATATCATGAAAGCTGTAGTGATAAGTGTGTGATTGATCAGTGTAAAATACTCAGTGAATGATACTCAGATACTCCTATTGTTGATGCTTAAGGAAAATGAGTGGAAGGAAGGCAAGGTGACAGATGCTCTGCCTGTGTCTCTTCCCCACTGGCTGCTTTGCAGTCATGATGTTCTTTATACTAAGGGGAATCAGTTTGCAGAAACAGGCTGATTGTGCTGCCTGTACTTCTCTGCTCCCCAGCAATGTAGCTGAACTGGTATTGTCTCTGGCGATTGCCGTTCACTACTTCTCTTCCTTGTCAAAGAAAGGGCAGTCCTGGCCAATTGCCTCAGATGGTGGCACCTAGGACGTGTTGGTAGGAGATGAGTGTCTCTTAGATGCTTGAAGAAACCCAAGATCCCTGCAGCACTGGATGCTCAGGTAGCTGCATGATGTCTTGGGTGGCATGGTAGGCTGTGAGCAGTCTGGCATTACTGGAACTGGCTGGTCTGCAGGGTTGTCTCTCGGGTCCCCATTATTTGTCCACATCAGTAACTACAGCAAACTTCTTGCCTGCTAGGAAACTCTCACTGCAATACTTCTTCCTGCCCGTAGCTTCACCTGGTCGTTTCCTCATTTGCCTGTCACCGTGTCACCTTCCTTTCTTAAATCCTCTGCTTGTTCACAGGTGACTTCATGTTCCCCATTTGTCTTGCCAGAAAGCAGGTCTGGGTCTGCTGTGCAGTCACTCACACACAGGTTGGCCAGCCCGGCTGCTGGGTGACAACCAAATTGTCCTTGTCTGTCCAAGAGCTGAATGGGGACACTCATTTTGTTCTCTGTGCAGCTTCTCATTTTCATAAAACTTAAAGGGATTTTAGTACGTTTGGTTAATACTGACCAGTCAGTGGGTTCAGAAGTTGAGTGTGTGGTGGGGATTTAGAGGAAGGACTTGGAAATAAACAGTGCATTTTGTTAACCACTTTTTTCCTTCCAAGATCAGGCTAAAGGTGCTGTTATTGAAAGAGTTAAGAAAGAACAAGGTTGTTCTGAATGCCGGAAGAGGGAAATGATTTTAAATTATTAAAAATGAATTGCATCACTGTCTGTGGCTCATCTAAAGAATAAAAAAAGGAACTTGATTTAAGTAGTCATAACCTACTCCCAATGGTTTATTTCATTTTCCAGAGAAAATCTACAGATCTCAAGGACATACAATAAATTGAAATCAACTGGAAACCAAAACAGACCAATAAGTCCATAATGCTAGAATTATTTCAGGTAATATTGTATGCACCAGTCTTTATTTTAAAGGTGGTTGTTGCAGTTCCAAAATCACTCAGACTTAAGGAATGCCAGATGTC